ATTTGAGCTGCCGCCCTGCAAAATTGACAACTGGTAGACAGTTTTCAAGACGGCACTTTCTTCATAGTAAACAGATGTACCCACAAACCAATTTTGACAGGAAACAGAAGCATGGTTTAGGAGCTAATTTTTTTTAAATCACTTTTGACCAAAAAAGCACATTTTTGTGCATATCTCAAACTACAGTGTCTATAACAACAAAATACTAACAAAATTTAAAATTTATACAATAAGCTTTCCGAAAACATATAGTTTTGTGGACAAGAGAGGTCATCTTGGTTTCCTAATTAACTAATTAAAATACCTGTCAGGTAAACTGCATCTCTACCTTAAATTTTGGAAAGTTCTCTTTGTGCTGGTCATATTGAAGTGGAGGGGTTGTCGCAAGTGTGTCCTTGAAACTTGAGTCCCAAGTGGCGTATACAACAGATTGTTTATTTACATCAAATTCGAACACATGACCCCTCCGGTTTAAGACATAGCAAAGAAAAACATAGATCACAAGTGAAAGCATGTCCAAGTTATCACATTTTAAACAAACAAGATGGCCGCCAGTCGGCCATATTTGACCAAATTGCAAATTGAATTGACATGTACATGTATCCATTTATGACATTCTAAATATCAATGAAAATGATACATGGGTGACAGAGATATAGTTATATGGTCAAAAATAAAAACTGATTATGAAACAAAGTATGATGTATGTGCCAAATACGAATGAAAATGGTACATAAATCTTGACAATATAGTAGTAAGGCCAAAAAGTCAGATGGCTGTCAATCGGCCATCCTTGATCCGTTCATGTATCCTAACATGTATAAAGTATATGCTAAATTTGAATGAAAACTGACAAAGCATGTCCAAAATACAGCATTGTCAAAAAACAAAATGGCTGCCCGTTGGCCATTTTGAATCGAATCGCTTAACCACTGCATGTGCATATGTCCCACAGAAAGTACTAGGCACATGTAAAGAATGAACAGAGTCGGGCGAAAGGATTCTGAAATACGACTCCGGACGAACGGACGCACAGATGGACAGACGGATGCAAGGACGGTCGGAAGACATTGATCCTAACATGTATAATCTATGTACCAAATTTGAATGAAAAATGACAAAGCATGTCCAAAATACAACATTTTCACTAGGCACATGCAAAGAATCGGAATCGGTCCAAAGGATTCTGAATATATGACTCTGGACAGACGCACGGACCGACGAAGACCGAATTATAAGTCCCCGTTTTCGTACTTCGTCCGAACGGGTACTAACAAGTTCAAATCATTCAAATTTTCCTAGTCTGCACCTTTTACGCAATATGTGAGATTTCTCAGTGAATGTAAAATCACCTATTAATTTGTGTATATCAAGTATAGAGTAAACTATAAACTGTAAAATGATCAGAACATATAAGGACCACTATCAAAGCTAGAACACAAGCTCATACTTACATCCATTGATCTGACCACCCATATTTTCGTAGACTGTCTCTTTGTTCTCTATCAACCATTTTGAGAATAGAATAAGTCTTATTCAGATCCACTTTAGGACAGCTCTTCCCTGGAATTGGTTGTACATATTGTATCCTCTTATAGTGAAAATCTAATTCTGCTATTAACTCGTCTTGTAATTTTTTATCTATATCACAGACATAAGAAAACTTTACTTTTATGGGATTGACTTATAGTCAATATATGAAGACAAAAATATACTGGTAATAGCGTTTATGTGATTTGAGGTAAACTTTAACCATTTTTGTCAAATTTCCCAAAGTTGTAAAGAAAACAAGTGTTTTATTAGCCAAAACAGATGTAGCCATCTAATCTGTTGATTCATACCATTCAAAACTAATGTGATGTGACGTCACTTACAGTGCTTCACCTCACAACAGTCTGGATATAATAGGTATAGTAAACAGTTGAAAAACCACAAGTATTGCCTGCCAATATCTAAGCAACAGCATACTACATACCAAACATACAAAATATATAACATTATTTGCAATTAATCATGGTTTTTAAAACGTCCAGACCTATAAATTGCTAAGCTGTTGCACCTGTAACAATTCTGAATTACGTATTTTGTTCAAATCAACCACTGCATGGTGAAGTTCCAAGATTGCAATTATGTGTGGTGAAAGTACACTTTTCCAGTATGTATTACCCTCTTGAATCTAGAAGCCAAAAAAGGAGTTTATCAGAGAAAAAAATATATAATTCACTCACCACTAGTTTTTTTTTGATCAAATATTTTAGTTAGACAAATCACCTCATCACTCCACTTCACTTTTGAAAAACAATATTTTTGGTGAGTCCAAAAAATGTGTACATTAATTATATTAAATGTTTTGAACCCAAATTGTGTACTCACCTGATATTGGGACAAATCGTTGCCATACGGTTAACATGACTAAATTAAGAATATATGCACACATACTTAAAATTGTTGTCAAGAGACGTGAAGACATTGTCAACAGAGAGTGCCCCATCTGCAACACAAATGAATGATGAGGAAATTTGATTAGATGTAAACATGTTTAAAACAATAATACACCTGAGGAGTTATCAGATATAAAGAAAACAAAATTTCTCCTAACTGATAATGAAAATCCGGTAAAAATCTGTCACATTTTTAAAACCATCACCAGCTATCCCACAACAACATTCATAACAAATAGTGTCACAATACTCTCATTTTCAAAAATAAACAAGTCATTTGAATGAATTTGTATTTGAGAACAACAAAAAAAAGAAGGAATAAAACTAACACATATGCAACCATTACGTCTTGCATTTATGCCTAATTTAAACAAAATCAGTCAAAGACAATAGAAAAATGCCAATTGTTTAAATTTCATTGAAAAACACCCAAAAAATTGGTTAAAAAGTGTTGAAATTGCTAAAGACACTTGAAAAAAATTCAACATGGTCTCTCTATCAGGAAACTTTGAAAACAAAATCAATGAAAGTGTATCTGAAACACGGGTATAATCGAAAAATGCCTGCCAGGCGAACATTTGGAATCAATCATGAAACAAATTAACATAAATCAGGAATTCTTAACATCTCATGAGATATAAAAAGTATACCAAGTATCAAAGTAAATGGGCTTAGTTGTTGTCAATAAGAATTCAAGTACACCATTTGCTAAAAATAATGAATTTAAAATGAAACAAAATAAACAATTCTTACAGAGGTCTACTTTAGTACCAGTACTTACAACGTATAACCTAAGTAGTAGCAATATTTTTTAAACAAAAATGACTAAAATATTCACTAAAAAAGAAAATTGAAGATATCACAAATGGACAAATCTGACAGGTGCCTACAATATCAAGTATCAAGCCAAGTTTCTATAAGAAGTCAAAAATTTAAAAAAAGAAATACCCAAAGTGTATCAATTATAATGTAAG